TATTGTTATTATGGACACGTTGACCCATGCCAGAAATGCAGAAGCGAACAAGAATGTATCGTTATGCCAAGAATTTAGTTCGTGTCGTAGTAAGCCATTTGGGGCGGACGACCCCGACTCAAATCCCCTTTGAAAGTAGGCTAGGTTTGGATCATTAGGAGGCAACCTTCCAGCCCTGCCTGTCAGGGCCAACCTTAGCTGGGAGGGACGCAACACATCCCAGCAGAAAAACCAAGATACTCGATAAAACTGTGCTCCCTACTTGGGAATCAAACCCGGATCTCCTGCGTGCAACATCGCAGCGCCAGTTGGCACGTCTTTGAATTCGGATTTCGGATTGTATTGCTCATACGGAATACGGGGTGGGGTGCCCACTACGGATGGGATCGGCCGATCGCCCGACTCGTCGAGTCAAAAACAAAAGTGTTTGTTTTCAGTTTCAGGCGACCGAGTCGTAGTGGACACCCCGTATTATTATTTCTATTAGCAATGATGATACTACATGTACATAACAAGATGGTCCACTCCTCTCTTTGAGCTTATTAAAAAGGTGTCCTCAAAATTCGGTGGCGCCCTCTTCGCAAAAGCGCACCCTTTGCGAACAGAGTTACCCTACTTGTGTAAAAAAAAAAAAAATCAAAGTGAAACTAACAAGTTTTTGAATAAATACGAATTCAAATTTCGGGAAAATGCTTTTTTTTTTTTTATGGTAAAAAAAAATCTTTCGGAGGAAGAGACGACTGTTTTCTTCGTTTAATTTGACTTAAGAATGAGAGGCGAGAGGTCATTAAAAAATTTTAAAACCTATAACTCCGCAATGAACGAACCCGTACAGCTGTTGAACAGCAGTCGATCTGCGCCCGCAAGGAGGTGCTATTCCTATTCTTCTTCTGGAGAAACGAAAGAGAGCTTCAAAACAAACACTGCAGCGTCATCTGAGCCATTGCGCGGACTTACGGGGGACACTTTTTTTTGGCTGAGTGGACCACCTTGTTATGTACTAATTTTGCTATTAGTATTAGGCTGTTTGTCGGTTCTGTCGGGATGAACGTTTTTGTTCCAGATGTCCACTGCCTGGCCCTTGGCCTTTTACTTGCCCCTCACCCTCCAACCCCTTCCTCACTCATCCCCACCCGACCCTCCCGTCTTCCCTCCCCATCCTCCTTCCCGAC